AATGCAAGATGCACGATCTCATACATGATCTTGCAGAACGTGTATCCGAAACTGGAAGCATGATGCGAGACTTCCACGAGGATGAAGATGTTGCAACTCCCATTATAGAAAGAATTCCAGAAGGAAGTAGTGGGAAATTGAGATCACTGTTTTCGAATGCTGAAGCACTACCTGGAAACATGTTGCCATGGTTTAAAGCTTTACGTGTCTTGAAATTATATGAGGCATATATTGAGGAGCTTCCAAGTTCAATCGAAGAGCTGAAATGGTTGAGATATCTTGACATTTCCTTTACAAATATCGAAAGACTCCCAAATTCTATTGGCAAGCTATATAACCTACAGACATTAAGAGCAACAGACTGCGACCTTGAAGAATTTCCAAAAGACGTGCAAAACTTGATCAACTTGAGACATGTTTATTGTGATAAGGAAACGAAATTTCCAGCTGGAGTATTAGGGAGATTAACTAGCCTTCGAAAATTACCTTATTCTTATGAGGATTATAAGGTGATGGGTAGGGAAATTGTGGAGCTGGCTGCCTTGAATCAATTGAAGGGTAAATTGATTATTTGTAATTTGGAAGACGTAAGGAATGGAGATGAGGCAAGTAAAGCTAAATTAGAGGAGAAGAAAAAGGTACGCCACTTTTTATTTGAATGGACGAAAAACAGGTCAACAACCAATAATAATGAAGAGGATGTACTAGAAGGCCTCCAGCCGCATTCTGAGTTGGAAAGGCTAGAGATTAAATATTTCATGGGTACTAAATTTCCATCATGGATGATTAAGCTTGGCAATTTAAAGCAGATTAAGCTTAAGGGGTGCAACAGTTGTGAAAAAATTGAATGGATGGAAGCACCAGAACAAGTCATGGCGTTTCCTCGGTTGGAGAAGCTGGAGATCGAGGATTGTCCCAAATTGAGAAAAGCTCCCAGTCATCTTCCATCTCTTCGAAAGTTGGTTGTATACAGTTGCCTTAGTCTACAATTTATTCCAGATTTGCATAGCTTCACATCTCTTCGTGAATTGATTTTTATAGATTGTGAGAGATTAGAGAGTTTGGTGAGCAGTGGGCCCGTCTCTGTTGTGAAGTTGCTGACTATAAAAGGTTGTAGTGGTCTACAATTTATTCCAGATTTGAACCTCTTCCCATCCCTCCGTAAATTGAGCATTGAATCTTGTGAGAGATTAGAGAGTTTGGTGAGCAGTGGGCCCGTCTCTGTTGTGGAGTTGCTGACTATAAAAGGTTGTAGTGGTCTACAATCTATTCCAGATTTGAACCTCTTCCCATCCCTCCGTAAATTGAGCATTGAATCTTGTGAGAGATTAGAGAGTTTGGTGAGCAGTGGGCCCGTCTCTGTTGTGAAGTTGCTGACTATAAAAGGTTGTAGTGGTCTACAATCTATTCCAGATTTGAACCTCTTCCCATCCCTCCGTAAATTGAGCATTGAATCTTGTGAGAGATTAGAGAGTTTGGTGAGCAGTGGGCCCGTCTCTGTTGTGGAGTTGCTGACTATAAAAGGTTGTAGTGGTCTACAATCTATTCCAGATTTGAACCTCTTCTCATCCCTCCGTGAATTGAGCATTGAATCTTGTGAGAGATTAGAGAGTTTGGTGAGCAGTGGGCCCATCTCTATTGTGGAGTTGCTGACTATAAAAGGTTGTAGTGGTCTACAATATATTCCAGATTTGAACCTCTTCCCATCCCTTTGTAAATTGAGTATTGAATCTTGTGAGAGATTAGAGAGTTTGTTGAGCAGTGGGCCCGTCTCTGTTGTGGAGTTTATAATAAGAAATGCCCCTAATTTAGAGAGAGTATGTTTGGACAACCTCACATCTATCTCTGTGTTGGAAATTCGTAATTGTGGGAAATTAAAATATCTGCCCACAGGGCTACTAAGAAACTACGCCAATTTCAAGACATTGGAACTTGGTGGGTTATGGGAGGAGCTCGATTCCTTCCCTGGTTTCCATCTTGAACCTGGTCTGCAATCTATTCCAGCTTTAAGCTACCTCACATCCCTCCGTGAACTGATCATTGAAGATTGTGGGAGATTACGAAGTTTGGGGAGTAGTGGCCCACAACTGCCAGCCTCTCTTGTGGAGTTGAGAATAAGAAATGCCCCTAATTTAGAGAGTCTTCCAAGTTTAGACAACCTCACATCTCTCTCTGTGTTGGATATTGTTAATTGTGGGAAATTAAAATATCTGCCCACAGGGCTACACTGCTGCGCCAGCTTGAAGACATTGGTACTTGGTGAGTTCTGGGAGGAGCTCGATTCCTTCCCTTATTTCCATCTTGAAACTGGATCATCACAACTTCAAACATTAATTTTGACCGGGTGGCCCAAGCTCAAGTCTCTGCCTCAACAAATTCAAGACTTCACTTCTCTAAAATATTTGTGGATAGAGTGTTTCGATGGAGTGGAGGCTCTTGAGGATTGGTTGGGTGACCTTACATCCCTTGAGAATCTAGATATTTGGAGTTGCAAGAATCTCAAGTGTCTACCCAGTGTCGAAGCTACGCAACGTCGCCTCACCAAATTACAAAACCTAGAAATTTGGCAATGCCCCCTTATGAAGGAAAGATGCACCAAGGACAGCGGCCCAGAGTGGCCCAAGATTTCTCACATTCCACATATCTACAGTAATTTCTTCTCTCCTGAAATCAGAATTCCTTTTCATTCTTCACCTTTCGGTTTAACTAGAGTTTATTCATTCTGAATAATTTCTGAAAGGAATGAGACTTGTTTATCCTTTTCCTTTTTCTTGTCATCAGTTGTGTGACCAGACAGCAGACAGATTGACTCTATGCGTACAATGAATTCGTAATAGCTCCAACTTTGACAGTGAAGAAATGTAAGCTTTTCAAACTCCCACTCCCACTTGTCTTCTAATGGGCTCGTCTCTTATTTCCAATATAATCTTCTCTTTTATGGGGAAAGACTTCAAAGGAAGCCGTAAGATGTTTTTTAATTGCTGATTTTATAAAGAATTGCGGAAAGTATCAAGGATATATTCAGAATACTCTGTTAGTGGGATTTCTATACTATGTTTGATTAGAATTACATTGCAAGTTGTTTGTCATTGAGCAGGTACCCTTTCATTGCAAGGCAATGCTTCTCGGTATTTGTGGATTCTTTATCACCACTTGTTTAGAGGTAATGTGTCTAGCCTGAGTAAATATTCTTGTGCATTGTTAATTTCAGTATTTCTGTTATATGAAGTTGATAAGGCTGAGCATTTTCGCTTTTTTTTGTTTTTTTTTTTGTTTCAGGGCCTGAGGGGGTGGTTAGAGAGAGATTGATATAGAGCAGATTTTATTTACATCGTAACAACTTAATTGAAACAGAACAAGGAAATGAATATGTCGATGCAAACATGCAGGACTTTTCAGATTTTGAACCTACGTTTTTTAGCATATTCATCATCTCCGAGGACAAAAAATGAAGTGGAGTGGAGTTCATTGTTTCTTTGAATGCTGTGATAACCGGTGACAAATATTAACATCTTAAGCATCAGTTTCAGTACCAATATTGTTATGACATACCATGTTCTCTAATGCCGGGATGTGCGTATAACTTTTGTTGGTTTGGCATGTCAACCCATTTCTTGTCTGTAATTGATATAACCTTCAAGTAATTTGAAACATACTGGATTTAGTGTGGGATCATGGAGATTTTCTTGATTAGTAGTGTGGGATTTAATGTGAATCTTGAAATTGTTGAACCGTTGTCGTTTTTCTTGTTCGATAACAGCAGAGAGCCCCCTTCCCCTGTTCCTAGAGTATTTACCAAGTCTTTCTTAATGGACCGTTGAGTAGCTGCAGTATCACAGGAATCAGGTAAAACAATCTTCTGTTACAATTTATAGATGATAGTTGCAAGCTTTGTTGTACTATGATATGTTTAAAGTTGGAATTTATTTTGTATATTTTTTTGCTAAGTTGTTTTGGTGTTATTATATTTTTTTGGGATTCAGGTAGAAACTCATGCCTGCGTCGTGCCATACACCTTCATGTTTCCATCTCAACAAATCTTGCTTTGAATCCTGTGGCCCGAATCTAGTACTTTTCAACTGTTGCGGTCTGGAATCAAGTACTTTCTGCATGAACAAATGTTATGTTCGTTTTTTACTTTTTCTAGAATTGAAAGTGGTATTTTTGTTTTTTGTTTTTGGGGTTTTGAGGCGAGCTGATAGAGTGAGAAGGGCATGGATGAGAGAGACGAAGTTATGATATGGATTGAATATGCCTAGGTGCCGGGAAATGTGCTAACTTCTTTTTTTGTGGGCAAGGGGAAATGTACTAACTTTCAAAGGCAAATTGGAAAACTTTTAAGGAGAGCAACCTACCTCATCTCGTCTAGCAAATGGATTTGGTAACTCTAATTCAAAATAGGGAACAAAAAACAAAAATTCAAATAGTAGGCTTTGTGTTCCAGTTTAATTTTAAATTTCGTAAAATAAAGAAAGAAGAACAGACTAATTTTTATTTATTTTGTCAATTGAATTTATTTTTAACTCAATAGATTTATACTTGAAATCTTTTCCAATATTAATTTAGGGGGAGAAATGGATAGTGTGGGTGTAATAAACAAAAGGATTTTAAAAATTTAGGGGGAGAAATGGATTGATTGTGGGATAGGGTTTCGTTTTTGGGCTTCAATGGGCTCAAATTTCCTTGTATTTTCAGCAGAATACCTTTTGTCCTTATTTATTCAGGCTCTCTTTATCTAGCTTAGCTTTTTTGTAATTATTTTACTCAGGTTACTATTGGACGTTGTTTACTCTGCTGTTGAGTAGCTGGTTGGTTATGGGTCTTTTATGCATTCCACTATATTTTGTACTTCTATGACATGTTAATAACATCTCTCTGTTTCTCATAAAAAAAAGAAGAGAAACCAAAGTGAGAAAAGAAGAAATTGAAAGAGGTGTTACAATAATGTTTTTCCCAAAAATCTCTAGGATATGTGACATAGGCATTAGTGTGTGTTTTAATGCAGGCATGTGATGTTAGCCATAATAACTTCCAAACTAGGGAAACAAGGAAGTAGATAGATATTTGTGTATGGTTGATAATACACAAATGGGCTACAATTTTTAGTTTATTTTATTTGGGTTTGTATTATTAAGACAGTGATGACAATAATTGTTTGGTAAGCACAATCTTTTGTTGCTGGACATTTGCATAACCTCTTAAAGTCTTAGCAGACACAAGAGGAGAATTGTTGTTCACCGAAGTTTAGAGTGCATATTGGCAATTCAACACTTGTATTATAGCAGACACAGAGTAAAACATTGAAGATGGAAATTTTAACATGGAAAGTTAGAAGGAAATGGTCCAAGGTTGCATCTTGGACATATATTCAGAGTTTTCTAGCTGCATTCCTTCAAACTAAGAGAGAATATGGAACCTATTGAAGAGGGGAGCTTTTGAAGTTTAAAGGCCTATAGGAGCATCTAGTTTTTTGAGTTGCGAAGTCAGAATTTCTATATATGAAGTTTTTGGTCATGAGTGCAAAGAGACAAAACACCATTAATGGTGGAATTTGGCATTTGATTAGCATGACATTACTCCCTCAATGTAATGTGGGGGAAGGTGCTGAATTCTGATTAGCTCTGGCTTCTCGCATTAGAGGTGTTCCTACCAGTGTTTGATAGTTTGATACTAATTTAATAGTTGCTTTCATAGGTTGAATGACTTGGGAATATTTCACTCTCCATCTTTTTTAGAATATATGGATCTCTTTAACTTCTTGTTATCTTTTTTTTGGAGTTGACACTACTACAAAAATTGAAATAGACGACGGGAAACCACCGTCATGTAAAAGGTTTTCGCCCGGTCGTGAAATCGACTGCCGTCTATTTGGGTTTCAAACTACGACGGCTTTTCACCGTCGTTGTTTAT